AGGAATGGTCTTGTCGATTTCCTGAACGCTAAACGACAACTTCCTTGGTCGGTGCGCGCTAAGGGTCACGTGGTTTACACATGGGAGTGTCCCCGCACTGTTGACATAGTCTGACCACAAAGTCCTGTAATGAGATAAAACATCTCTTGTACACCCTGGTGACACGGGCAGTGCGTGGCTGGTAACATGGCCATTACAACTCTAGCACTTTACACCGTCACCCACTCACTACGCTGTGATAGACAGCCCGAGCTATACATGTCCAAGGTGGGTGTGCTACCGTATTGGTTTAGTGAAGCACTTCTCCCTCCCTTAGTTATAATACGGGTCCGCCGTGACCAGTGCAGTAATTACCCCACGATAAACACACACTGGCGATAGATGAAGTACCAATTGTATGATGGACAGTGTAATGTTGGTGTCAAATCCAAACGATCTTTCACAGGAGACAAATCCAAAGCAGAAAATAAATTATATTTGTTCAACATCAGCCCCCTGTTTCGTGCTCCCTATAGTAATGGCCACATGCATGGGCGTACAACCACAGCCGGATAACGTTAGGTTTCTATTTAAAACAACATTTTAATAACTATGAACTCGTTAAGTGTTTGGACTCTTTACCCTGTAAATTAGACCTTTCAAGGGTGATATATAATCGTCTTCTTTCATAATATACTAATATCCTTTAATACTATACATTGTATTGTGCTCTGTGTAGATCAATCAATCAATATAAAAGGTAGGGCAGAGAGTTCAAATTTCAGCGCGGAATGTCAGATTCATGTTGAAGTAAAATCCCATCCCTGCCCTGCCCTGCCCTGCCCTGCCCTGCCCTGCCCTGCCCTGCCCTGTCTGTCTGTCTGTCATTCTGTCTGTCTATTATAGACGTCACTCATCTGTTTAAGACTGTAGTCCTTGGTTCACTGAAATGTAAGGAATCCCGCACCATCCTGATCATCTATATCAGCTACAAATGACAGATTTAACTGCCAGATATCTATACTTGGTCAATCTCATTCTCACACCTCACATATTAAACATATATATGATGAACCTGAGTTTACCAAATCAGAGGACAGTGGATCTCACCAACCTTCAACTTTGATCCCGTTTGTCTAAACCAGTAAAACTTGGTGTTACATCTGCAGGTTACAGCTAATCTTCATCTTTGATCCCTTTTGTCTGAACCAGTACAACTTGGAGTTACATCTGCAGGTTACAGCTAATCTTCAACTTTGGTTCCCGTTTGTCTGAACCAGTAAAGCTTGGAGTTACATCTGCAGGTTACAGCTAATGTTCAACTTGGTTCCCGTTTCTCTGAACCAGTAAAGCTTGGAGTTACATCTGCAGGTTACAGCTAATATTCAACTTTGATCCCGATTGTCTGACATCTGCAGGTTACAGCTAATGTTCAACTTGGAGTTGAACACTTGGAGTTACTGCAGGTTACAGCTAATGTTCAACTTTGATGATTGTTGAACTAGTACAACTTGGAGTTACATCTGCAGGTTACAGCTTTCTCTGAACCAGTCTAAAGCTTGGAGTTACATCTGCAGGTTACAGCTAATATTCAACTTTGATCCCGTAAAGCTTGGAGTTACATCTGCAGGACCTAGTTCAACTTGGAGTTACATCTGCAGGTTACAGCTAATGTTCAACTTGGTTCCCGTTTCTCTGAACCAGTAAAGCTTGGAGTTACATCTGCAGGTTACAGCTAATATTCAACTTTGATCCCGATTGTCTGAACTAGTACAACTTGGAGTTACATCTGCAGGTTACAGCTAATGTTCAACTTTGAACTTTGAACCAGTAAAGCTTGTCTGGTTACAGCTAATATTCAACTTTGATCCCGATTGTCTGAACCAGTAAAACTTGGAGTTACATCTGCAGGTTACAGCTAATCTTCAACTTTGATCCCGATTGTCTGAACCAGGCAAACTTGGAGTTACATCTGCAGGATACAGCTAATATTCAACTTTGATCCCGATTGTTTTGTCTGAACCAGGTTAAAACTTTGGAGTTACACCTGCACCTGCAGGTTACAGCTAATCTTCAACTTTGATCCCTCTTGGAGTTACATCTCTGAACGATTGTCAGTACAACTTGGAGTTACATACAACAACTTTGGAGTTACAACTTGGAGTTACATCTGCAGGTTACAGCTAATCTTCAACTTTGATCCCTTTTGTCTGACCAGTAAAACTTGGAGTCTGACCTAGTACAACTTGGAGTTACATCTGCAGGATACAGCTAATCTTCAACTTTGATCCCTTTTGTCTGAACCACTACAACTTGGAGTTACACCTGCAGGTTACAGCTCATCAGTTTGCTCTAGTTTAATGGCACTACTGATGGTTTGGTGAAACACCTGAACAAATCAAAAAGACTTTAAAACAGAAAGACTTATGTGACTTAATAACAAAGTAATAAGCACCACATTCAGGGAAAGAAAACGCACAACAACATTCAAACAAAACGTCCTATTTTGCAGCTTTGTTTGTTATAACGCCGCACTAAGCAGTATTTCAGCTAATAGCTAAACAAGTCTTCAGTTTGGTAGACAAAACTAGGATACGATGACATTCACCAACAACGCCTGACCTCCCGACCCTCTCGCGACAAGATGCGTTTCTTATTCCACATTTGTGAAATTCCGTAAGGGTAAGATAACTTCGTCCGACACTACTGATGTTCGGCTGGACTTACGCAATATCCACAGAATGAACAAGCCGAGCAGGTTATATCCCTGGCACGACTTGTTCCATTGTTTGGAAATCATTTGTTTGGAATAATACTAGTTGTGACAGCCGCACTTGTGTTCAAGACAAAGCCGTTCATTCTTGTATTACAACGTACTGTAGTCATCAAGTTACCACATCGCAAACAGCAATCGTTTAAAAGGGTTTTTGCGTTTAATTTAAGGTGCGTTCCCAAAACAAAACACTGAATGACAAATTGAATGACAAGGAGATAACACTACAGGTATAAAATAGCACATTTCAAACCAAAAATGGATTTTTTTTACAAATGTATCAGAAGTTAAATAGAAATCACGTTACAAAGCCAAGAGCTAGAGTCTATTTATAAAGTGACTACACGTTTAATCATTTATATAGAAAATAGACAAATATTCGAATCGAGCTCCGCAAAGGTTCAAGGCCAGGCGTGGTAACGGCTGATAGCGTGTCTCTGTGCCCAGTCGGGCTGGATTGCTGCACGCGTTTTCGATCACTCGATTGTCTGGTTCAAACTATATGTTTTACCTACCCCCGTCAAATAGGTGCAATATTTGAGTGAGGCGTAAAACGGCAAGCAAACAAGTGAACACGAAACAGGTCATAATGTTTGTCAGTGCCTAACGAACACGACGCTTGTAATGGAAGGTTTGGGGTATCAATACTCGGCGACACTATTACAAATAGTTTAAAAAGAAGTATTCAAAATTAATAAATAAAGATAAATATGCAGTGGCTCATTTTCCAACAGACGTTGGTGTTCTTGTGTGTGTCACACGGACAGTGACGGAAACTTGTAAAAGAAAAAAAATAGTTCGATTTTTAATCTTGAGAAAAACTTTTATCCTTTTCACTTCCTACATCCACAAGTATGATATTTGGTTTGACAAGGGGTCAAGGAAGGAAACACTTTCCGCCCGTAGCCCCTGCTTCACATATAGACCCTGCTTCACATATAGTCCCTGCTTCACATATAGACCCTGATTCACATTTAGCCCTGCTTCACATAATGATAGCCCCTGCTTCAAATTTAGCCCCTGCTTCACATTTAGCCCCTGCTTCACATTCAGCCCCTGCTTCACATTCAGCCCCTGATTCACATTTAGCCCCTGATTCACATATAGCCCCTGCTTCACATTTAGCCCCTGCTTCACATTTAGCCCTGCTTCACATATAGCCCCTGCTTCACATTATACTTCACCCCTGCTTCACATTTAGCCCCTGCTTCACATTTAGCTTCACATAATTATAGCCCCTGCTTCACATAATATAGCCCCTGTTTCACATTTAGCCCCTGCTTCACATAATATAGCCCCTGCTTCTTCACATTTCAGCCCCTGCTTCACATTTTAGCCCTGCTTCACATATAGCCCCTGCTTCACATATAGCCCCTGATTCACATTTATCCCCCCACATTTATTCACATAATTATAGCTTCCCCTGCTTCACATTTAGCCCCTGACTTGAGCCCTACTTCACATATGGTTTTACTGCTTCACATTTATCCCCTATTCCAGCAATATAGCCCCGGCTTCACTTTTTAGCCCTACTTCACAGAATTATAGGCTTCACTCATTATAGCCCATGCTTCACATAATTATAGCCCCTGCTTCTTCCTGCGTGACGATGATAACGCTTTAACCACTAGGCTGCTCCAGCCCCGCTTCCCCTGCTTCATATAGAGCCCTTGCTTCACAGAGCATCCTAACCCAAACCATGGTCATCAACAATAGTCCAACATAAATACACTGTTTCTAAAATACGTTGAGTTTCCGGTCTTGACATTTTCTTATTTCCAGGCAGGGATGCCGGCGGACGTTTTACCGTAAAGAGATATATGCAGTTCAAACTAACCAATAAATTCCAGTAGCTATGAAATACATTTTATATCAAACCCTCGTGAGCTTCATGCCCCAGTAACTGAAGTGACACAGATTCATGTCAGTGTAGATAAAGACCAGCCAAGCATAATAAAATCGTTTTAAATAATAATTGTGTGTGAAAACCGTACAATCAATAGCGAGCATTTCCTCACGCAAAAACTACTTGTAAAAAATATATTTACGAATCGTCTTGCCTGGTTACATTTCAAAGTATTTATCGTCAGCTATGAGATGCTTAGTCGCGAATGCCAACGTATATGAGATCAATGCTGAATGTGCAGCTTATTATACCGAGCCCTTTAAACAACCATTTCTGTTAAGCATGTTATATGTAAACGTTACAACTATAGCAAGATAACAAGGTATCTTACAAATGACTCACCTAAAAGCTGGCTGTTTGCAGTGGTGTCTTAAATCTAGAGCAACGGTTTAAGAGAGTGATTCTCCCGACGTTGAGGTCGACAGTGATGAGGTGTCTGCAGTGATAGAATCCGGGATAGATCCAGTTAAGAGGTAATACAAAACTGAAACTGTCACTGGTGTTCAACACAAAATCACTGAACAACTTGACGAGAAGTAGCTGCCCCGCTCCCAGCTGCCGAGAAAATACACAGACGCTTGCATAGTAGACAGCATCAGCGGCTGCACTCATTCATGAATGACACGCGGTTGCAGCCCGCGGCCTTTCTACTACACACGCCAGCTCGTAGTTCGCCACCCAAACACCTGGCAGGTCGGGCGTGGTGACTAGACGCACATTCCAATGTGGTATGGAGAAGGGAGGTAACTGCTTTCAGGGCGCGTCACTGAGCGTGGGAGGAGGCATGGCCCCGTTTACTGAAGGCGTATAATAAAGACCACGAAACGTGTTGCACGAATTATTTACCGTCGATTTATAGAGATTTGTGGGCATTCTTACTCAACTGTGATGCAGGATTGATCACATCTACAGATGTCGTTCACCTGCCTTAACAAGGAACACGGGCCACATGAAAGCGAGCAGAGAAGAGACAACCACTTACATGGCCTTTTAAGACATTATGTGTGGCAAACTGTACATACTTGTTTGTCAACACTGAAATATGTACACAAATACACACATGCCCCATCATATACACTCATACACATGCCCTATAGTATATACTCACACACGTGCCCCATAGTATACAATCACACACGTGCCCCATCGTATACAATCACACACGTGCCCCATCACATACACTCATACACATGCCCCATCGTATACGCCCATACGCACGTGCCCCATAGTATACACTCATACACGCGCCCAAACATATTATCTCATACACGTGCCCTATCATCTACACTCACACACATACGTACCCTATCACATACACTCATACACATGCCCCATCATATACACTCATAAACGTGCCCTATCATGTACACTCACACACGTGCCCTAACATCTACACTCACACACGTGCCCCATCATATACACTCACACACGTGCCCTATCATCTACACTCATACACACACGTGCCCCATCGTATACACTCACACACGTGCCCTATCATCTACACTCATACACGTGCCCTAACATCTACACTCACACACGTGCCCTAACATCGTGCCCTATCATCTACACTCATACACACACGTGCCCCATCATCTACACTCACACACGTGCACTAACATCTACACTCACACACGTGCCCCATCATAATCATCTTACACTCACACACGTGCCCTATCATCTACACTCACTCACACGTGCCCTAGCATCTACACTCACACACGTGCCCTTACATCACATACACTTATCATCTTCACACACACACGTGCCCTAGCACATACACTCACACACACACGTGTCCTATCATCTTCACTCACACACGTGACCTATATTCTCCACCCCCATATCCGTGAGCTGTGGTCTACACATTTGCATGTGATAGATGTGCCTTTTATTGTTCACCTACACCCACGTGTGACCTATATTCTACACTCTCACACACGTGACCTCTATTCTTCACCTTCACACACATGACCTTTATTCTTCCCTTTAACACGTGTGTGACCTATATTCTTCACTGTTACACACGTGACCTTTATTCTTCACATTCACACACGTGACCTTTATTGTAGATGCCCTATATTCTACACTGTCACATCTGTGACATATATTCTGCGTCCACACAACAAATATTCATGACCACTCAGGTGCGATATATTGCATTACCATCAGTCTACCCTATATTGTACAGACTGTACTGACACAAGCCGTGAAGGCCTATGGTTATACTTGGTAACATTTTGCAGTCCTCGCTTAGGAGGTGGTGAGGATTGACACCTTCATACAGTTCTGTAACTGTTTGTTTCTCAGCTGGAATGATTCATAAATATACTTGCATGAAGCTGTTACATCAGCTGTTACCATGCATAATATAGACCATTGTACAGTTAAAATGTCCTTTATCCCACGATAACAATCACAGGTTTCATGTAATACACCTTTCCTTTACAATACCCGTCATACACGGCTCCGACTTGAAACCAATATTTGACCATAAGTATTAAAACCACACGTGTGCCATATTTTCTTCACCGACACATGCATCCTATATCTCGTGCGTGTGCACGTGCCCTATAGTCTACACACGCACATGTACATGTTCCCTTCACCACGTACCCGCTTCTTCCGCCTGCAGCCTCACATTGTGTGAGTTCTGTCGGGCCCTACAGGTGCGACACTGTGTGAAGTCCATCGGGCCCAGCAGCCACGACACTTTGTGAAGTCTGTCGGGCCCTGCAGCTACGACACTGTGTGAAGTCTGTCGGACCCTGCAGCTACGACACTTTGTGAAGTCTGTCGGACCCTGCAGCTACGACACTGTGTGAAGTCTGTCGGGCCCTGCAGCTACGACACTTTGTGAAGTCTGTCGGACCTGCAGCGATGACACTTTGTGAAGTCTGTCGGACCTGCAGCGATGACACTTTGTGAAGTCTGTGGCAGCGGGTCGGATCCTGCAGCGACGACACTGTGTGAAGTCTGTCGGACCTGCAGCGATGACACTGTGTGAAGTCTGTGTGAAGTCTGTCGGACCTGCAGCGATGACACTTTGTGAAGTCTGTCGGACCTGCAGCGATGACACTGTGTGAAGTCTGTCGGACCTGCAGCGATGACACTTTTGAAGTCTGTCGGGCCTACAGCGATGACACTGTGTGAAGTCTGTCGGGTCCTACAGCGACGACACTGTGTGAAGTCTGTCGGGACCTGCAGCGACGACACTTTGTGAAGTCTGTCGGACCTGCAGCGATGACACTTTGTGAAGTCTGTCGGGTCCTACAGCGACGACACTGTTTGAAGTCTGTCGGACCTGCAGCGATGACACTTTGTGAAGTCTGTCGGGTGCAGCGATGACACTTTGTGATGCCCTGCACGACTTTGTAAAGTCTCGGTCGGACCTGCAGCGATGACGACACTGTGTGAAGTCTGTCGGACACCCGGCGACCTGCAGCCACGACACTGTGTTGAAGTCTGTCGGGCCTGCAGCGATGACGACACTGTTTGAAGTCTGTCGGACCTGCAGCGACGACACTTTGTGAAGTCTGTCGGGTCCTACATCGACGACAGTGAGTGAAATCTGTCGTGCCCCACAGGTACGACACTGTTTGAAGTCTGTCGAGCCCTTCAGCGACGACAATTTGTGAAGTCTGTCGAGCCCTTCAGCGACGACAATTTGTGAAGTCTGTCGAGCCCTTCAGCGACGACAATTTGTGAAGTCTGTCGGGCCCTGTACTGACATTGTTGGAATATTGCTAAAAGCGGCGTAGTAATAATCTGTTAGACCTTTGGCGAGTGCCATTACTCATGACAGTCTTCCCATGAACGAGAGTTTCAGATCACACAGGGTCCATGGAACGGTCAGGGGTCACCACTGCCAGTGAGATATTCAGGACACTTACTGGACCTGATTCCGACTGACCTGCTGCGTTAGTCGTGTTCCAGGCTCTGACAGATGTCAGCAGGAATGGAATTTGATTCCTCATTGTAATATGAGTCCAGGAATTTGAAGACAATGTTCCCATTGCTTAAGCTATAGTTCACTAATGGATCGTGTTTGTTTTTATTATGGAGGATTGTATGCTAGGCCCCTTTCATATAATAAATTAACATTTCTAATAATAACGTCAATATATTCTCACGTCCTTTACTACCTCGCGAGAGGAAACCCTTAATAAAAGATTCATTTGCCTAAACACACTGCTAGTTCATAAACTATAAGTACGTCCAGAAAGCGGTGATTCGATCCCGAGATCGTATAAAATGACGTTAAGGATGGTATTTGTTGGTACTCTGTCTAATACTCGACATTAAGCGGACAAAGTAGGGGCTGATCCCCTCGTGTTGCTACTGCTATCTCAGTACGATAGCATTACATACCGACATTAGGTAGGACAAGTACAAACATGAACAAACAACCCCGTACTCTCACGCACCTGTACACGCACATGCACACGCATGCACGCAGGCAAACACACACCCATACACGTACGTGGCAATTAAGTGCAACAATTTTGGACGCGACGTTAAAGCCAACTATTCTATGTCTCCTAACATGGAACATATTGTCTAGGATACTGTAATTTCGGGAAAGAAATGAGTACTTAGTCCTACTTCGATTGTGTCTGTATTTACTCATTTGTCAAACAAATACCTCTCATGTCTGATTTTATCAACAATAAAACACATCCGCGTCTCTACATGACTGCTCGGTTCTTGTACGTCAACAGAAACGTGACACAGGCCAGTCGGGTTTCCTCCTGTGTGATGGCGGTCGGCAGGGTACCCTGGAGGACTTTGCACTCACTCGTCACACCAGGATCTGGGTTGGATGTCCTGCATGGGTTCATGTGTGAACAGAGCGATGTGCTTCCTCGTCAGCCCACCTGATGAAATGTGTGAAAACGGGTGAAAAATACGATGTTAGGTGTGAGAAGAAAGACGTACTCCATCACCGGCCTCATGTACATGGTGCACTACATCTGACTGTCTCGGGGAAAGGCGACAGTTCTTCAAGTGTATTCAAATCAGATTGCATTTCAATGCGATTACACGATAACAAGTGGTGTTTATCAGCTCGAGAGTTAACGGTTTAAACGGGTTTGCAAATGAGTAAGTGAAGAAATGTTATGCTAATGTCTAATACAATGTAGGTGTACACAAAACAACAAAAAATAGACGGTAAATGTGGTGCTTCAAATTCCCCATACACTACCTGGTGCTCGGATCCTATGTGTGAATATAAATAATAATACGTATCAACTTTGCAATTGGTGACGTCATAGATCGACAGAATGTGACGACGATATGGTCTGTGGTCTCAGACGTACATAGGACAACGGACGAACGCTCAATATCACAATATGTGAAGGTGAAGAAACAGCGAGCACCTGACTGAAGAGGTAAACCTATTCCACAAGTTTGTCTGTACGTCGTCGTGTGAAATGATTCTGTCAACGGTTTTACTGACTCTTCCAAGCTTCACATCTGACATTCATCTGATACTGACGGAACCAGATTACACACAAGCATCAGCCTCAGGAAATATTTGATTAAATAAAATCCATTTTCTTCCAACCGGAAAATACAGGAAAAAACTTAGCTCCAAAGGTCCTATGATAGCAATGAAGTAATGTATATGATATCAGAGAGTACATTGTCCATATCTGTGGACACTTAACCAGAAGACCAGATATCCGCCATGCTTGAAGATGGTGGTCGGGCGTA